TTCCTAAGCTATTAATTTCAATAGCCTCTCTTATCTTTCTTTTAACCACAGACGTATCATAATCAGCAAAGCTACTCGTTTGAGACCCTTTTATTTCAGGTCCAGTTTATACTACGTATTCAGCCACTTCTGACCGCTCAATACAGATAGCTTTGCCAGCATTTTTGTTTTCTACCAATCTTCTCCAATAGGTCGGTATTTATCACCAGCATAATATCGACTACATGAGCAAATAATCTTGTAGCAGCCGGATCACGATAATGGGTCATATTTCTCTCTAAATGATGGCATAACAGAAGAGAGTGTGAGGGTTTCTTTGAAAACTGTTTTTATGCCCCCCTTCTTTATTAATTTGACTATCTTTTTTAAAAGAAAATATGACGTCAAAATTAGGACATGGTAAAAGGTCTCAGGCTGTCTCTCTTTGACTAAATGTTCTCCGTCTGAAAATATATTCCTCAGTAGAGAGATTTTATTGTTAATTAGGCCCAAAGGATAATTATTTTCAAGGAATATATTTGTCAGCCTTTCCGACTCTTTAGTCAAATGCTTGCTATCCGCTAACCTTATACTTCTTAGAATCATTGACTTAAAAATGTCAACCCTAGTCTTATAGCTATTGTTTGAAAGAAAATTAAGCAGGACCAACATATGTTCGATTCGTGTAAACATCTCTTTCTAATTAATCCTTTTCATTATTGATGAGACCATCCAGTAACGGTAAGGACTTATTTTATTCCATCTCCATCGTGAACCTAATGTTCATTTCCCTTTGGTTGAGTGAAAATAAGAAACTATCTCCTTATAATGAGGCCAGATGACAAAATAGTTATTCATGTATCTAACCAATAATTTGGGTGTAAGTATTGCCTCATGCAGAAAGTGTTCCTCCAATTTTGCAATATAATTGTTCGCTAAGATGGGAGACAAGCAAGATCCCATCACTAATCCTTGCATTTATTCGTCTAAATTACCATCAAAGGTGAAATATGTGGTACTCGTGGATAGGTTGATGAGTCTAATAATGAAAGCTACACTCTACCTTATTCTTTGTGTTATTTCTGGATGCTCCTCCAGAGTTTGTATCAGAGCTTGAATAGCTCCATGGACAGGAATGTTTGTGTGCATAGACATGACATCAAAAATTACGAACAAACGCATGGATTAGCGATGGGATCTTGCTTGTCTCCCATCTTAGTGAACAATTATATGGCAAAATTAGAGAAAAACTTACTGCAAGAGGCAATAATAGCACCCAAAAAAAGCTTAAAACGTTTTCACCCGAAACGAGAGAGGAAGTCTCGTGGACTGCGTCAAAATAAATATCGTATTTCAACTAAATGGCTGCAGTTTAACGAGGTTCATCCTTCCTCATCTGGTGAGATCGACCAACGAATCTCTTCTTTATGCACCTTCATACAAAATCAAGTTCCCTCTAACATTGTTATCTCAGGAGATTCATCGAAAGCAAGTTTCTCTTCGTATCTACAATTTATTAATCTTTCCATAATTCCCTCATTTCTAATTTCTATTCTTTATTTATCCCGAAGGATTTAAACTTAATTCGTTATACCTTATTTCATTACACATCCCCTCATACCATCATTCCATTTATTTTCTCATATTATTATTTTAGATTTTTATATTTACCTAAATTTACGCCATCAGTTTTTTCGCTCTAATTATTTTATCTTTTTCCTTGATCGAGTATTTCTTTATTCATGATTCCTTACCACTATATCGTGCCATATTAAAGCTCCGATTTGCTAATTAAATCTAAAATTTTAGTTAAATAATTTAACTGACCTTTTACTGGACACTTGCTATTGACTAAAATGTTCTCTTAAAAGGAATCGATTATGTGTCTGAGTTAAGTCCGGAATAAGGATGTCAGGAGGAAACATCGAGTCAACACGTCCTTGATCAAAAGTATATCTCTCCAAATATGTCTAAACCAAGCCTTTGTATGTCGCGCAGAATGCAAGTTAGAACCAGGAAGCCACAAAATACCAAAACAAGAATAAATAATGAACTTAATAAATGGACAGGTACTTAGCATTTTAAGTAAAATGCCTATTTAAATACTTTAATCTACTTGGCCTGCCTATTTTGTACTTGTAATAAATTTAACTAAAGTATGAAGTTGATTAATTTTGTTGTTATTATTAATACACTATTTTTATATACCATGCAATTATAAATAAAAAATTTAAGGACATAACATGTGCCTTGATTTAAAAAAATAAGGATTCATCATAATTTTGCATAGAGGAAATATTTTACTTATGATATATTATACATACTTTATATGGCTCAATTATTGTTGCCTTTGTTAATCCCGAGAATTCAAATGCTTATTTCCCATTATTCCTGCTCATTATCATTACAACAAAACTATCTTGATATCTCAATTTCTGAATCCTTCTATGATTCCTTATAGAATCTCTCTCAATGTTTTTTATCTTATAATTTTTATTCAAGTTGCCTATGCACATTGGTGGATCTTTGAAGAAGAGATAAATTTGCAGCGCACTCCTTCATTTACTGCTTCTCCCTTAAAGCAATATACTCATGATCGCCACCTTATTACATTCTCGCCATCTTCAAATGATGTTATCGTAGAAATCCCAAGGTACACGAATAAATGTATTTATTTTCTTTTTGACCTGGTATGGGAATATTTATAGGTTTTTCTCAACGCGTGGATTATGATTACACTTGGACAACCTGGCCGGCTGAGAAAGGTCGCTTAGTAAATGTGTTTCTTGGCATTCCTTATGCCGCCCTTCCTATTGACGATCTAAGATTTCGCGTAGGATAATTTTATAACTTCTTCCATAGCGCCCAAAGCCAGCTTATTTGAACACTCGATATCCTTGGTTTGCAAAGAGCTACAGACCTTGTTGTATACAGAGCAGTAAAATGATTCAAAATATGGATGAAGATTGTTTGTATTTGAATATTTTTTATCCAAACGTAATTTTTTGCTGCATTTTTATTTTTTAGATGTTTTTTTAATTAATTATCCTGAATATTTGCTTCCTATTACTGTTTTTATAATTATGACTTGCTGATTTAATTTAGAGAACAAATGATCCTCTCACTACTCGATATCCTGTAATTATTTTTATTCATGGAGGAGACTATAACTCAGGATGCAGTCGTTTTTACCCAGGTCATGCATTAGCATCCCAAGGAGCCGTTGTCATTACTTTTAATTTTCGGCTAGGCCCTCTTGGTGGGTTCCTTGCTATATATGTTCTTATTTTTTCATCTTAATTTATATAATTTTTTACAGGTTTCTTGGCAACTGGGGACTTTGCTTCCCCTGGGAATTATGGGCTGTGGGATCATATATTCGTATTTGAATGGGTAAAAAAATACATTGAATGGTTTCGCGGTGACAAAGACAGGATTACTCTGCTTGGTCACGGATCAGGAGCTGCCAGTATAGGAGTTCATATAGTATCGCCTCTCACTCGCGGCCGAAGTACGTTTTAGATTTTTTCTTGGAGCTCTTTATTAAAATATATTTCCTGAACTAAAGTTAAGTTGATAAAATGCATAGCTTTTCAAATAATAATAATATCAGCAATTCATTATTTTAAGCGCGCCTTCCTATAATGAATATTTGCGCATTAAAGTTGCAAATTTTATGTTTTAATGCATGAAAACATTTATATTATTTTTAAAGTAGCTAAATGACGCTTAAATTTAATTAAAGCTACTATGTGCTAAAAATAGTTTATGTAATAAGCCTAGTTAAAGCTAGTAAGCAGCTATGAAAAATTGTCCTTTCGTAGACAAGGGACTAGGGAATAGGGAATCCGTACACTTGGCTCTCTGGCTATAAAGTTGAGGTAAATTAAACC